TTCATAGGTTTCTTCTATGCCTTATGATGTTAAAATTGATAATTTATTCTTTTTTTCTTTTTTCCTTGAAACAGTCCCACTCTGTCACCCAGGCTGGAGTACAGTGGTGCTATCTCAGCTAAAGGGATTCTCCTGCTTCAGCCTCCCAAGTAGCTGAGACTACAGGTGCATGCCACTGTACCTGGCTAATTTTTGTATTTTTTTTTTTTAGAAGAGATGGGGTTTCACTATGTTGTTCAGGCTGCTCTCCCTCCTGACCTCAAGTGATCTGCCCATCCTGACCTCCCAAAGTGCTGGGATTATAGGCATGAGCCGCCACACCCAGCCAAAAGTGATTATTTCAAGAGTAAAAAGGAGAAGAAAATCTTTCCAATCTGTACACATGAATGAAAAACAAAACAAAACAACACTTCACATCTAAAGGTAATGAATCTTGCATGTTCGTACTCCAAGTCAGCTGCTCAGGTCATATTCTCATCTTTTGGCTTTTCAGAAGGTAGAGTAGAAACTCAGCACCACTGCTTGCTTTCTCTGCAGCCATAGAACTGGCTCTCTGCTCGGCCTCTTGTCAAGTTCCATGCTTTCCCCAAACCTCATCTCACCACAAATCCTGTAGGGATCTCAGGAATAGAGGGAGGTAAAAACAAGATGCTCTTCAAAGAGAAACTACATACCTGAAATATGTCAGCAGCTCTCACTTGAGCAGAAACTCTATGAAAGATTACTTCTGTCTCATCATTCTTGTCCATTCAGATTACTTACTCCAACGATCAGTCTGCGACTGGCATTTTCATTCACTGATATTGCTCTGTTCTGTGCAAGAAGGTACCCACACTGTTAATGAATTGGCATAGTGGGAAAGTGGAAACAGCTTTGGACTGGAAACTAGGAGACAGATTCCAGTTTTGGCCTGCTCCTCACAGCTGATTGTCCTTGGACAAGTCATTTGCCTTTCTGGACCATGGTTTCCATAGGTACAACATGAGGAAACTAGACTGAACCAGTCTTTCCATAAAATGTGATGCTCAGGAGAAGGAAGATTTTGAAAACTTCTCTATTTTCAGGGATTCACCATCAGCATGAAGCAAAGACATATTTTATGCTTGGTTAAACCATGTATTTCTCCATTTAACTTGACCAGCAAACACCCCAACTTTTTTCTTTTCTTTTATTCTTCATCTCCTTTCCTTTCTTCCTTCTTTCCTTTTCTTTTTTTAAAAATATATAACAGAACCAGCATTTTATAGAACTCAATCTGGGAAAGGCAGGACTAAATGAACATTCTCTAGGTTCATTTGTTTGTTTATTTTGCTTCGATGCATGGAATCAGAACTGCTCAGAGTGTTATAATACAGAAACCATAATATATTGTTTTAATTATTGCTTAATTATTACATAATTATGCTTACTGGTTTACTGAACACCAATGAAATATGGACCCAAACAGACAAAATAAAATATATTTTTAGCCCAAAAGAATATCTGCATTTGTTTAGCATTCTTGGGAAGTGAGATGATCTGTGCTTTAAAAACATAACTAGAAATTACCACTTAAATGGCAATATTTTATTTCTGCTATTCATTTATTCATTCATTCAAGTAACACTGAGAGTTAACCTTTTATTTGCCTAAACCACATTGGCTGTCTGAGGAATCTCTAAAAATAATGTTTTTAAATACAGAGAAAAAAAATCCTACATAAGATTACAATTGACACATTAAAAATGCATTTATCAACTGGATATGGTGGCTCACTCCTGTAATTCCAGCACTTTGGGAAGGCTGAGGCAGGTGAATTACTTGAGGTCAGGAGTTTGAGACCAGCCTGGACAACATGGCGAAACACTGTCTCTACTAAAAATACAAAAATTAGCCGGGCATGATGGAGGGTGCCTGTAATCTCAGCTACTCAGGAAGCTGAGGCAGAAGAATAGCTTGAACCTCTTGGCGGAGATTGCAGTGAGCTGAGATTGCATCACTGCACTCCAGGTTGGGCAGCAAAACAAGATTCTCTCTCTCAAAAACAGTAAAAAACATTTATCAAAATATTTTCCAAAATTTGTAATATAGATGTATTTTTAAATACATCAATTGACAGGATCTGGCAATGGTTCTAATAATTGTCATAGTTTAAAAGTTATGATGAGTTTAAATTTCTATAACAATTATAATGTGACAAATGCCACACATTTGTAAAGATTCATACAAGTGTGATATTTGCTGTAGATTATGCTTTTCAAAGATAGTTGCAATGTGAATGAAGATGCCTCTTGATGAGGCTGGCACAGGGCTATTAAGTTACCCACAGCCTATGAATCTTCCTGAAGCCACACATATCATGAAGGAAAGAGAAACCATCTTCACTGTCCTCTCTCCAGATTCCTGATTCAAAGAATAAATGACCGTAATACAATATTGTTTTATGTCACTTAGTTTTAAAGTGTTTGTTGAGAACAGTGCCATAATAAAGTGTACTTACGTGCTAAGAAAAGGGCTGCCACCAGTAGTTCCAGTGCCAGGATTGTGCCACTCAAAGAGAAGTAATGTCCAGCTTTTGGAATTGAGCAAATGGATGGTTGGTATTCCAATTAAATGAGGTGAAGCATAAAGGACTAGATAGAATTTTAAGGTAAATGAGAGTAGAAATTATTTAGACACATTTTGAGTTTTTCATGTTACTGGGCATTCAAATTCTTGAAATGCAGATCAGTGACTCAGAAGAAAATTATGAGTTAGGGATAAGGCTTGGGAACACTGTCATCTGGAAGGTCATGAAAGCCACCAGCTTGGTGGATTTTACATAGCATATAGCAAGAAAAAGGAGGGGAAAAAATGGAGATAGTAAACCTGGGAGAACCATAATGTAATGAGTAAAGGAAACTGGGGAGGAAAAATGAGATGTGGTCAGTGTGGAAAAGAGATGACTAAGAAAAAGTGATGTCATGGAAACAAAAGGATATTTTTCAAGCTATACATGCCCTCATCTTCACAGACATTTGAATTTACTTTTTTTTTCCTACTGGGTTCCCACGCGAAGAATAACTTATTGATAATGTTTGGCTTTTATGCATGCAATTGGCTTAGGGCAGAAAAAAAGATGGGGAATCATAGTCATGCTAACATGCATAATACATAAAAACACTGCTGGCTCTGGCAACTAAGAGAAAATAATTCCAAATAGTCTACAGTTTCCTTCCTTCTAAGAACATACAGAATGCACTTAAACATTTTTACGTTGACTTGGTCAGTTTTAGAAACATAAGACAGTCAACCTTTGAATTAAATTATGCCTTCAGAAGCAGTTGTTGTAGCCCAGGACTGGTTTGGTTTTTCAGGAACTCCCATAGCTCTGTGGTTGACTGCTTTGTGGTTCCACATTCCTCTCTCTCAGGGCTCTTGTGGTTTGTGGTCTCCCCACAGTACAATTTTCTCCTAATTGGTGGTTTTCCTCCCTTCTCTCTTTAGGCAATCTTTCCAGCCATCTGTGGGTCTGCTTCTGGTTTCTATGACTCCCTATTCTCTACCTGAGCTGTTGTTGGCTGCTTCAATTGCTTTTCTCTCTATTCCATGTAACTAGTATATTCATTTGGTATGGATGCTGTAACAAGGTACCACAAACTTAATGGCTGTAAATAACACTAATTTACTAACTCACAGTTCTGGAGCTGAGAAGTTTGAAATGGGTCTTCTGATCTAACTGGAGGCACTGGGGAAGAACCTATTCCTTGGCTTCTGGGAGCTACCCACATTACTTGATTCTTTATCTTCCATTTCCACCTTCAAAGCCAGCAATATTGGCTTTCCGTGTGTCTATTTCTTTAGTTCTCCTTTTTTCTGCCACCCTCTTCCACTTATACATTGTAATTATGATGGTCTCAGCAGATAATCTAGGAAAATCACTCCATCTCAAGGTTAGCTGAGTAGAAACTTTAATTCCCTCTGTCATCTCCATTCCGCTTTGTCAAGTATCATAGTGTATTCACAAGTTGCAAGGATTAAGTTATGAATATCTTTGGGGGACCATGATTCTGCCTGTTCCACCTAGGAAAATACCAAGATTATCCAATACAGTATGTAATATTATATCGATGCATCTCAGGAGACTGTAATCTTTACAATAGCTGTTTTCACTAGATTTGGTAGTATTTTTTCTTCAAACTTAAAGGCTCTTCTGGAAGGCTGAATTTGCTGAATCCTGACCTTAAGGTCTGGGAGGCAGAGATGACTTTATGCCAATTTTTTTACTGAACCAATTTCTGAACAATATTGTACACGCTCAAGTAGTACAAGGATTATTTAAAATATTTCAACCAATGGATATCAAATTATCAATAGACCGCAGTGCTCCCAAGTATCTTTATGATGTCTAGTTTGTGGCAGTTTGAAGTAGACTTCACAGTCATAAGGTACTGGGGTCACTCCAAGAGCTTCAGGTTGAATCTAAATTAGCATCCACCTTCTCAGAGAAGCAAGCATCCAGAAGAATCTTGTTTTTGCTAATTCTGCTCCAGAGTTAAGGCAAGAGTAGAAGGAGTTTATACATCTATGAAATTGAACTGCATTGTAATCAGCTGTTCAACTTTCTGTATTTTCCGTGAGGACAGGAACCGTACCGTGCTCAATTTCATTTCTCTATCTTGAGGTGGGTCCTAAGTAAGTTTGTGATTTGAAGGGGTATATGCTGTAATAGTCTTGGAAGCAGGGAGAATTGGTTGGGAAGATCATAGGGTACACTGGGATGACCTTTGGAAGGGCAGCTCAATGATCAACCACTTCACTTTTGTAGTGAGTTCAGAGTCTTTCAATATATGGGTACAGACCTAGGTAGTTGCAGGGCTAGATCTTAGCTGTAGCTCACCCTGAACCATCCAAGTGGCCTTATTAATGGTATGAGTATGGGAATGCAGAATTAAATGTGTCCAAATCACATCATTTTAAATATAGATGGAACTGCCTTGTGTAAAATGCTAGTTTTGAATGAGACAGAGCAGGTTTTGAGGCATTTATTAGGCTGCACCATCGTATTGTCTCTGTCCTTCAGGGCTGGCCTCAGGCTTGTCGGATCTGATACATTTGATCTGAGCTCCAAGGAGTCTGAAGCCTCACTGTGTCTGCTTTTCCTTCTTTTTCCCTTCTCCTAGGAATCAACATTTTCATTATAAACGCCTTCTTCCTGGCGTTCACTCTCCCAGGGTTGCTCCCTTTACATCCTAACCAATACCTGTTGTCCCAATGCCCCCCACCACGACCCCCCTCCACACACCAGAGTTTATGATCTAATAAAAGACAGATCGGTAAAAAAGCAAGAATATACCTAAGCCTCATAGAATATCAGTTCTAGAAGGGTCTAGCCAGGTACCCCATGCCTATTCTTCGCAGATCACTACCACCCGCCTCACTGCGGTGTCTTGAGGTTGCAAGACAAAATTTACAGTCTTTATGGGTTATTAGTTTTATAGTGTGACAAATTATTTTAAATATTTTATGTTTGAGACAGACTCGGAATATGGAGTAGGAGTAAATACCTAACTCAATTTTTAAGAAAATAGAAACTTGACATGTTTTGGCAGCCTTCGGGGGCAATAGTTTCCTCTTTGTTTCAGATAGTTGGGGGAAATTTGAGAGTGTAGAGCTAAATTTCTTATTTTGCTGAGGTGGAAGCTAAAGTGCAGTACAAAATTAAAGCTCAAGTCTCTGGCCCAGCCCAGGCTTTCTCCCTCTAAAGTATACTGCTTGGTGCTGGAGAGGGAAAGGGACATTTCACTTTCCTTTTCAAGGTCCCCATTGCGTTCTGGGGAGAGTGACCTACCTGATCCCTATCATGATTAATGTGGTTTCTGAAGCATGAGATCTGATTATGACCCCATGTTGTTATATTTAATTACAAATCTCATTATGGCCCTGGCCATAACACCATGTAGCCCTCTTTGCAGTCACCTTTGCTGATCTGACTGCCTGAAGGTTTGTCTTTATGATTTACTCTAAATTGTTTTAGAATCATAGACTTCTAGAGCAGGAAAGGAGGTTAGAGATCATGAAGTTCAATCCCCTCATTTTACAGATAAAATTACAGAAGTCCCAAAGAGAATAAGTCATCTTCCAAAGGTCATTTAATAGATGCAGGAAAGGAATGCAGGGTGCCTGATCTGCAGGCCAGGAATGGTTCTTTCTATATCATGCTGCCCTGCTAAGTGACACACTTTATCACATCATCTCCTCACTCCCCCTGCTTTGTATTATGTGACAACTTCATAACATGCGCAGGTTATATTGTACTATCTTTTTCAGTACAAAGTTAGTCACAAATTATATCAGACAGCAAAGTTCTTTGAGGTTTGAGGTAGAGTATGCTCCATCAGATTATTCACCTTTCTGGACCCCAAATTTAGGAGATCATTCACCTTTCTGGGCCCCAAGATTTTAGTTTAGCAACATGGTTGCCAATTAACCACCTCTCTATAAAGAAAGACTCCTCTCTATGAAGCCAACTAAACTAAGTCTTGTCAAATAAAAACAAATCTGGAGGTAGTAAGAAGAGACTATTTGAAACAATTACTGCAATGGGAAAGAGGGACCTTTGCAAGAGCAGGATGGGGCTTAAGCAATAGGGAAAATGCTCAGTCAAGATGGTCTCTCAGCACCTTGAAGGTCATGTGGACAAGGATTTTTTAAAGGGAAGAATAAATGAGGACCGTGGCAGGGCAATGCGACTGGAGAGATGATTGGAGAATGCATTTAAGGTGAGCTAATTTTCAGAAGAGGGTCTCCTAGGAGGTGGTGTTCCACATTTCCATGCAGGCACAAACTGTGGGTAGCTCAAAATTCAGGGTCCTGAGGGGAGGAGAGAAGCCTGAAAGTTGAAATTATGCAGCCTACTGGATATTTTGTTCAGATTGGCCAGTGAGGACAAACAGTACAAACAGTTCAGGTAACAAGAATGGGAATTTAAAGGGTCTTGGATGACAAGGGTCTATCCTTGTCATTGGTAAACCGGGTGGTCATCTGTAAGTCTTCTCTAAGTCATCCTGGAAAGGGTGTTTCTTTAGAGGAAGCCATTTCCTAGAACACAAAACCGTGGGAGCACTTCTTGACAACAGCTATTTTCCAGGAGCACAGGGCTCAGGCAAAGTTCAGTATGATCAGTGCTTAGTAATAGCCACACCCCCTTTCAGTAAAACTTTCTTATATCACATGCTGGCCTTTCTCCTTCTTGTACAGGGGAGGTTGTGATGGGTCTGGCATTATATCTAAGAAAGTTAACTTACTAATCAGCACTTGACAGCCTTTTCTTTGCCTTCTTAAAATGGGGCCAAACACCGTCTTGTTCCTTGGAGTTTATAATAAGGGTATCAAGAGTCATCACTACTTTCTTTTTCTTTATAAGTGCTGAATAATGCTTAGAATTGAATGGAATGGGTAGACTTTTAAGGTATGAGCTTTTGGCTCTCTAAAGTACAGTATGCCCTTGAATTGGCTTAGAAACAGCCCAGCCAGGAATAATAATTCATAAGATCATATGAACCCTCTTACCACAGCTATATATTAAGACCTATTTAATGTGAGGCTACAGAGTCCTTTGAAGCCAATTCCAGAGATAGGAGGGTGAATGGCAGCAGTGATTCTAGTACCCTAAAAGTTCTTTACCAGCCAAGAAGGGAGGCTTAAAGATTTCCATTGTTTTTAAACCTGATCCTGAGAATTACAATGGAGAACTTGCCAGCTATGTGAAAGACTGGGCCGTTTGCTATGATGCTAAAAAATCTAAAAAGAGGCAAAGCGACTGCTAGAGGTCAGAATATAAGACAGTTTGTTCCATCTTTGATCAAATCAGTCTTTGCAATTGCTAAACCTGAAGGTCAATAAGTAGTGTGTAAACTTAGTGACTCAATTGAGGTGAGCAGCAAAGTTCAGCAGTAGCTGACATTTTGCTCCCACATTCGTTGTAGACAAAAAGTCAAGATTTTTATTTTATTTTATTTTTACATAGTATTTTATTTTAAAATACTAAATCACTGCAGCCAAAGATAACCCAGAGTTACAAATAATGAAAGTCAAACTTGTTCTGACACTGCATCTTTTGCCCAGGGATCTCACATCACCTTTCTAAATTCCTGGACAGTACAGAAGCACATGCTGAGTATTTTGGCAAGACTCATCTTACCTGCAGGGTAAGTAGGTCACTGCCTATTACAGGCCTGGACTGAAGGTCCTTGAAATTACTTTTCCCAATGCCTGCCTTCATTTCTAGTCATATATTTATTCTTTTGTACTAAATCCTGTACTAAACTACAAAGTAACTTGTGGGAAGGAGGGAGGTAAGAGAAATTAATCCATCCCTAGTCTAACTGAGATTTGATTTTTTGGAGCTTGTTTGGATCTTGGGCAGAGTGGAAAAGACTTTCTAGGCTAGTTGAGTAGAACTGAATAGCAAGGTTGGCTGACCTGAGAACTATGACAGGGTAATAAAAATGACAATTCTCTCAGCTTCCCTTTGCCCTTCTTCCCAACTCTTTTCCCAAATTTGTCTTGTTCCCCTAGAGGAAGAGAAAATTCTCTTAGTCTTTGTGAGGCTAATCTCTTTACCTGTACTGTCCATCACTTAGTCTTATCTAGGACTTTTCTTCATCATGCATATCTTGCTTTCCTATACATTCATTTCTTCCTGTTTGTTGATTCCTTCTCTTCACCTTACAAGTTAGTGCAGATTTTTTTCTTCCTAAAATGAAAAATAAAATGTAAACAAATACCCAAATCTTCAAACAAAACAAAACAAAACAACTTCCTGTAAATTTCAAATCCTATGTCCCAGTCACTATCCTGTTTATTCCCTCAAAAAAATATTTTTAAGAGAGTCTCTAGGAACGCTTTGTACTACAAATAGTCAAAAACCTGAACAACCAAGGCACAAATAAATGAGGGTTTATTCTTTTCACCAAACAAAAAAATCTGGAGTTAAATTTTTGCTGGTATTGGCCTCTTGTGTCCTTAAGGTCTTTTTTCATCTTACAATTTTATCATCCTCAATACGATTGCTTTAAAATGTAGATTTGTTACCTCATAATGCCAATACAGCTGCTGCAGCATCAGCAGCACAACTGAATTCATATACATAAGTAGGAATAGAACCAGTGCTCTTCACCCTCCATACCTTGTCCCCTTTCCCCGTCAGTGACTATCTTTATTTAATATAAAAAAATGAATCTCCCTAAAGACTCACAGCAGATTTCTCTTTAGAGTTTATTGCCTATAAGTAGTGATCCCTATTTGCAGAGGAGATTCTGAATATAGATATTGGGTGTTATAGCTTATAGTGTGGAGATGGGTAAAGGAGAAGAGGGTTGAAAATAGTTTCAATGTAGTCAAACAGTGTCTGCCACAGCACCTCCACTTCTTCACCTTCTGATCACTTCTCACCTGTTAAAATCTGTCTTCAGTCTCCAGTCCTCTGTGATCTGCTAAGGTCATCAATATTCTTTCAAGGTGTCTCTGTGGTGTTTTCACTGTTGGTGACCTCTTGTTGAGCTCTCTCATGTTTCTTCAATTGCATTTCTGGTTGCCCCTTCTCCATATTTCTTGTTTCTTTCTTCCTCCACTCACCTGTTAAATACAAGTTTCCTTGGGGTTTCTTCTCTGCCCTCTCTTCTCTTCTTTCTACATAATCTATGCAAACTATCTCACATCTATCTATCTAAGGCTTTGACTTACACAGTAATTATGCTTACAACTTGTTTTTGAGCTCAGATTGCTCTCTTGTGGTCCAGATCTGGTTGCACAATTGCTTACCTCTACCTAAATTTGTAAACCCAAAATATCCCAAAACAAATTTCCTTAAAAAAAAACCCTCCACTACTTTCATTTCAAATTATTCTGAATTATAACATGATTCCTATCATCATCCAATGAGAATGAGAAAAGTGGAATTAGTTTGGACTCTCTCATTCCCTATGTTAGATGGAAGTCTAAGTAGCAGACTTTCTGCACTCATATCTTTCTTTCCATCCTCACTTTTCCTACTTTAGTTCAATTAAGCTTTTGTAAATTTTTCACTTGCATTACAGGCCTAACGTGCTATTTCATTTATTTCTAATATTATCATTTACATCCTCTCCTACTTTCTTACGCCAATATCTTCACCAAGACTTGACTTTAATCAGGCTACTTGCGGTATTAATCAGAGTCCCACCCCTAGGTCATACCTATGCCATAAAAAAGAACAACCATGGAGTTTTAAATGATACAGAGTCTCTCTTTTCTAATGTATTTCTCAATACCTTAGTGAAGAAGTGTTTCCTGGGTCTTCCTGTGGAATGTAGGTGGGGATAGGTGTTCAGGTTGTACATATATCCTCAAGATTTTGGATTCCCTCCTGTACTTTATGCTAGAGTAGTCTGAGCTCATGAACAGCTGATCATTAAGAGTCCAAATTTTAGCTAACCAGCCAATTAAGCTGTTAGAGCCACCTTCAGCTTGATAGCTAACACATTAAATCCATAGTCTCTGGTAAGTATAGATATATCAATGAATTCAGCCAGATCCTGCTTTTTACCCAGATTACCTTTTCCTCTCCTTGGTCTTATCTAACACCCTTAGAATCTACATACACTTCAGGTTTCTGAAAATATACATAAACGAAGTGCAGTAATTTGTTGGGTATGTAAGCTACTTTCTCCTGGATCATATTATGTACCTGTCCCCCCTTGAGCATACTGAGATTTCAACCTAGTTGTGGGTTCATTGGCAGCATGAGGAATTTGAAAGGTGAAAAGTATTTAGGAGAATGAGTGTCCCTGTTTAATATATCTGACCCAGGTGGGATTATCACAGGGATTTTAAGCAGAGAAAAGTTAGTCTCCTCAGACAATGTAGGGCAATTACTTTCACTGGCAGAGAAGATTCAAAGAGATTTGGGATTTGAGAATGTCAGTTTCATTTGAGTCCAACCATATATCTATCCTCAGTCAGACTTTCAAGGTCCTATACTTTCCCAACAAATGTCCTAACATTCACAAAAGAAATTTGTGATACTGTGAATTCAGCTGTTCTTGTAAATAACAATAATAATAGAACCATGCACAAATAAATGTTACTTTTGATTTTCAGTAATAACATCTAATAGCTGTAATTAAGAAAAGATTCTGTTGCTCAAACCTTGACTTGACTGACAGTTAAAGGATCTGAGCTTGTCGTTGTCTTTCTGTAATCACTCTAGTGCGCTCAGGAGAATTTATCCCATACCCTAGTTCTTTAGTAATCCTTGGATTAGTGTCATAGGGTCAAGTGCTGCAGTCATTTGGACTCCCAAAGCACATGCTTCAGTTGGCACCACATCACAAGCAACCACAGGTGACATCATGAGTACTTGTGATGCCACTGCATGCCATAGATTAGTAACATCCACTTCCCATTGTTGACGAGCTCAGCACTCAGCTCAAGATCATAAGCAAAATCAAACCAATTCCCAAATCATATCTTTGTGGGTCTATCTCCTGGGACTTCTCAGCACCAATTCTGAGTCACTTAAGGATCTAATTAGGAAACATAAACACAATAATTTGAACAAAATAGTCTCATATTAAGATTTATTAACCAAGATAGAGGATTACCGTTACTGGACTAGGAGATCTAGTGAGGCTAGGGAGTAACCACTGCTAAGAAGATTGAAGTAGAATAGGAACCTATCTGGAAGAGGTCCTGTGCCTCTACAATGACTGATACATGGTCCTCTGCATGGTAGAGAATTTTGCAAGATGTTGTTCTGGCTAAACTCTATAGACAGCTATTCTCAGAAGTACTCAGAATCCTGCCATAAAAATGTACACCAGAATGTGGAAGCAGAGGCCCTCTAGCACCCTCGAGCATCCTCTACTAATATGGCTTAAGAAAAATACTCCAATATCACAAGCAGGGCAAAGAAGGGTGGATTTGGAGCTGAAGAGCAATAAATTGACAACTGGCATGTCTGGACCTTCTCCTTCAGAGTGAACTTCAGAATCATTAGGATGACATCAAAGTACACGCATACAGTGACCCTTCTTGTATATACTACTTTATTATCCAGCCATGATAGTAAGTTTAGTGTTTCCTAAACATAGCATATTCTCCTATCCATGACTTTGCATACAATTTTCTCTCAATTTCTTTACTTCCACATTATCAATATAGTTATCTTTTTATGTAGGTAACTACACAGGAGCCTGCTGGGCTTTGCTCAACGAACATGTTTCCTGGAAAATATTTTTGTGAGTGCTGAGTAATTGTTGACTGTATAACTGACCTGAATCACCCCCACTTCTTCCTGAAACTGAACTGAGTGCCCCACTTCTATGATGTCCCACATGTTCCCTTAGCATAGAATTAATCAAAGCATATGGTGATGGTTGATTTCTTTCTTTCTCCTGTGATACTGGAAACTCAACAATGCCAAGACTGGATCTTATTCAATTTTTGAGACTCCATGCCTCATACAGTGTTTGGGACACAGTGGATTCAATGGATAAAAATAACTATAAAAATATATGTTTCAGATTATTATTGTAAAGAAATAGACATTAGAAGCATTAAAAATCTTGATGTACACATTAATCATTACTTACAGAAGATCATTTAAAAAAGAATGATGAATAATTTGCTTTCTAATCAAAGGCTAATTTGCCCTTGCTCCTTTGAGATATAGTTTTTATCATGTCAAGGAGTATTTTTAAAAATAGGTAGTAAAAGTCACTTTGGGGATCTAAAAGCAGTTTTTTTGCTGAGGGAGTTAGTAATGTAAAATTTTATTTTGACTAAATAAATTTCTTGATGAAAGAATGCAGGATGTTAAGGAGAAGTATTTTATTTAACTACACAAATCCAGAATATTCCTCACATGTCTTTTCAATTGTATTTTTAAAAATGATTGGTTTCACAGAGATGGAGTATTTATAGAGCATTAGGAAAGAAAGAGAATTAGGGCATAATTCAGACAATTGAATGCATACTTGCTGGAGCTAGAGTCCTGAATCTCTTACATAATTCTATTCAGTGTGTAAGATTTTCAAAGGTATTGAGGGCATGGTAGATAAGAGATAATGTGCCATTACCAGTAACTGCTAAGTTTGTAGTTAGTATTAATTTAACTACAGAACAGCTACAAATGAACTGTAGAGAACCCATTAGTCATGGGTGAAATGCTAGGTCAGTCAACATGTGAAATGTTTACAGGTTCATGAGAATTTATCTGGAATTCTGTTTCAAAACATGTAGAACACACTTGCTAAAGGTATTCTACCTTTTTCTTTTAAGGAAAAACAAATGAGAAGAAATGCTATGTCTGGCTGAAAGTCAGATTTTGTAAACAGTAGTTATAGGAGTGGAGAGGCTTAATTCAGTTTAGGGAAGTTTTCTGGGTTTATTGTGCATTTTGTCATATTTTGCAGAATTCCAGATGTTCTCTGAGATATTTGGAAGGATGTAAATATCATTGGTTATTTTTCAACAGAAAAGTAAAGCAAATAATAATAAACTTTTTTGAATATTATCTGACATTGCAAAAAAAGCTAGTTGCTAAAAGTCCCTGCCCTAGTGCTTTCCAGAAAATAACTAGCAGAGAAAGAGCAATGTGAGCTCAATTTTCATTTACACTATAAGTTATGACTTAATAACAGAGAAATTCCAGCTTTGTAGCCTCCTGTGCTGTTTCTTCTATTGTCTTGTCCACATGTCGATTGCAAACATTCTTCAGGTTTGGGAATTTTTTTTAGGGGGGGGCGGTTGGGGGAGGGTGGCCATTATTTTTTTGAAGAATTACAATGGGGAGCAAATTCTCAAACAGAAATAAGTAAGAGTAAAAAAAAAGGTAATAATTTGCTTCACCCCTTCCCACTCTCACTCATACCAAAAGAAAAGAAAAAAACTGTCTTGCAAATAGACAAACAAAAATGATAACTACCTTTGCTTTGGTGCTGTGTGAATGGTTCAGGTTTCCTTACATGTTGCTCCTAGATAGGGAGTTGTTTCGCTCCTTATATTATTTTCTAATTTCTGCTGGCACTCAAGATATCTCTCTCTCTCTTTCTTTCTCTTCCTCCAGGCTTCTCTGCTCCCTGAGGCTTTCTTTGTGCTTTTTCAAGTCTCTATTATTTCTTAGGCTCTTTTGCTTCATGTCTCATCCTGAAGAACTGTGATATCCATTCCAATACATGTGCAGAACGTGCAGGTTTGTTTCATAGGTATACATGTGCCATAGTGGTTCGCTGCACCCATCAACCCATCATCTACATTAGGTATTTCCCCTAATGATATCCCTCCCCTAGCCCCCATACCCTGACAGGCCCCAGTGTGTGATGTTCCCCTTCCTGTGTCCCTGTGTTCTTATCGTTCAACTCCCACTTATGAGTGAGAACATGCGGTGTTTGGTTTTCTGTATCTGGGTTAGTTTGCTGAGAATTATGGTTTCCAGCCTCATCCATGTCCCTGCAAAGGACATGAACTCATCATTTTTTATGGCTGAATAGTATTCCTTGGTGTATATGTGCCACATTTTCTTTGTCCAGTCTATCATTGATGGGCATTTGGGTTGGTTCCAAGTCTTTGCTATTGTGAACAGTGCCATAATAAACATACATGTGCATGTGTCTTTATAATAGAATGACTTATAGTCCTTTGAGTATTCCTTTGGGTATATACCCAGTAATGGGATTGCTGAGTCAAATGGTATTTCTGGTTCTAGATCCTTGAGGAATTGCCACACTCTCTTCTACAATGGTTGAACTAATTTACATTCCCATCAACAGTGTAAAAGTGTTCCTATTTCTCTACATCCTCTCCAGCATCTATTGTTTTCTGACCTTTTAATGATTGACATTCTAACTGGTGTGAGATGGTATCTCATTGTGGTTTTGATTTGCATTTCTCTAACGACCAATGATGAGCTTTTTTTCATATGTTTGTTGGCTGCATGAATGTCTTCTTTTGAGAAATGTCTTTCCACATCCTTTGCCTACATTTTGATGGCGTTGTTTGTTTTTTCTTGTAAATTGGTTTAAGTTCTTCGTAGATTCTGAATATTAGCCCTTTGTCAGATGGATGGATTGCAAAAGTTTTCTGCCATTCTATAGGTTGCTTGTTCACTCCTGAGGACAGGTTTTTTTTTTTTTTTTGCTGTGCAGATGCTCTTTACTTTAATTAGATTATTTGTCAATTTTGGCTTTTGTTGCCATTGATTTTGGTGTTTTAGTCATGAAGTCTTTGCCTATGCCCATGTCCTGAATGGTATTGCCTAGGTTTTCTTCTAGGATTTTTATGATTTTAGTTCTTATGTTTAATTGTTTAATCCATCTTCAGTTAATTTTTATATAATGTGTAAAGAAGGGGTCCAGTTTCAGTTTTCTGCATATGACCAGACAGTTTTCCCAACGTGATTTATTAAGAAGGGAATCCTTTCCCCATTGCTTGTTTTTGTCAGGTTTGTCAAAGATCAGATCTTTTGAAGTTTGTGAAATTCATCTTTGCTGGGGAAGGAGGTCTCATACATTTTTACCTCCCTCATTTGATATCTGAAAAGAAGAGGCTGGAGAACCAAAAGTGATTAGTAGAATTTGCAATAACCATAAAGGTTATTATTGAAATTTTCCTGTAAGTCCAGCACTATTCTAAGGGGTTTGTTTTTAATACTCGTTTATCCCACACAACAATCCTGTGTCATTTATTTATAGGACTTTTCCTGCTGTAGAGATGAGGAAGCTGGGACAAAGAGACCTTAGTTAACTTGCTTAGGTGTTAACTAAATGTTAGCTATTAGTAACACGTAGTTAATAACACTGTTAACTGTTAACTAAGACATTTTGGAGTTCTGATTTGGTACCAGGAAATGTGGTTTCAGAGTCTGCTTTCTTAACCAAGAGGCTGAGAATTAATATTTAATGTGTTGTAAGATTCTGAGTAATGTCCTTTTTTCCTCTTTGTACTTGCTGGTGAAAAAGTCTTAAGCATTTACTGTTTACCACAAGCAAGAAACAATCACTAGACTGGAACCCTCAGTGATCAGACATCATGTTGTCACCATGGGGAAGAACACATGTGCATCTGGAAGTAATAAAGATACACTACATATTACAGTCTGATTGGCTTACTGGATTAAATAAATGAGTACAATTTGTACTTGGAAGCTTCTCATTTTCTGGTCTCTTGGCCTGACTGCTGTGGATAGTCATATGCTTTTATCTGGCTGTGGTCAATCCAAGGGATGCAAAAGTCCAGGTATCAATGTAGTTTTAGGCCTTTCACAGGCTCCTACTGGCAGCAACCCAAGAGTCC